AGAGATTCTGTTTAATCAGATCACAAGGTGGCAAAGAAACTTAGAAAATATCAGAGTAGTATGTGAAATAAGGATTTAAAAATATGAATGAAATTTGTCCTGAGTGAATAATATGCCTTAGAGACTAACAAACATAATAAAATATGCATCTAATTTGCAGATGCATATTGGGGCTCTGTGCATAAACTTTTACACTGATAGGAACTGACCACTGAAGACGACTGGTATTTTCAGTGAGTTATCTACCCTATAGCCAGAGTCACAGTCCTAACTCCTACTTCTAGACCCTCTTCATTCTGAGGGTTCTACTGGGGAACACTGGTATTCATCTAATTTATGGGAGTCATTTATATGTTCCTAGCTGCAGGATCCTCACTCTACTTGGTTTCATTATCAATCTGAAGTCATCTACTTAAATTTCTTTCTGTCCAAGATTTAGCTTATGAAAATGATATAACTGAAATCTTCAGAAATAGATCTAAAAGTGTATTATGAATGAGTGTTTATGTAAAAGCATTTCATTTTATTAAATGAAATGACCACTCAGTACTCACAATGAACTATTAAAGTGTGCTTATCTTTACAATCATAAGATTAGATGCCTAGGGACAAGGCATTGATTTTTGTGAATCAAAGTATGATGCATTTCCTGAAGATATTCATTTTTAAAAATGTTTTGTTATTGATGCTGATATTTCAGCTTATTCCCACTGTTCAATAAGCAATGAAGTCAGTTATAAAGTGCTTCAGTTTCATTCTTCTATCTCCCTTTACTTCTAAAGTTTTCATAGAATGTTTTAAATAGCCTGCTAGTACAGATCCACGACCCTTAAGAATTTGGACGCAAGAAGTGAACTCTTGAGTCCCTGCTGAAATAAATAGCTAGAAATTTTTCGCTAACTCTTATTATATGTTAAAAACATCTTTATATTACCTTTATTTTAAAACAATTTTTAAACTGATTATGGAACTATAAATCTCTGAGGAACCCAAATATGTTTATTTTTAAATCATTTCCAGATTGTTCTATTATTTTCATGTTTCTTAGAGTTAACCAATATCCTGATTGTTAATCTGGCTGGTTATCCTGAAGTGAGCCTGTCACTTCATGGAAAACTGATACTATTTGTTGCCACTGATAAAATTTGAGCTTTTAAGTAAAAATTTGTGTTCATTTGTTTTAGGGTATTTGATGTAGGCTCAACTTGATTACCCCCCCCCCTTCTATCCCTGTCTAGTGATTTTATCATCATTTCCACTTGGCCTTCTGAATCTCCTAGTCCACAAATACCACACTTTATGATGGGAGCCCCAAACCACCAACATATGAGAATATTCAACTTATCACAAATTCAGACCTTAAGCCACCAGCAGGTAGATTGGTCCAGGTCTTAGTTAGGTGGCTATATCTCTTTCTTTCTAGCCTTTTAAGTACTTAGATCTATGTAAGTCATAAATCCAGATAGTAGGTTGAAGCTTTGCTCAGATTTATTTCCCAGATCTGGGAATAGTTCTTCTCCCACCCATATTTTCTGTTCTGTTTCTGGTCCCCAATGATGCTACCTTATATTAGAACAGCAGTGCTCGGGCCGGCCCGTGGCTCACTCGGGAGAGTGCGGTGCTGATAACACCAAGGCCCCGGGTTCGGATCCCATATAGGGATGGCCGGTTGGCTCACTGGGTGAGCGTGGTGCTGACAACACCAAGTCAAGGGTTAAGATCCCCTTACCGGTCATCTTTAAAAAAAAAAAAAACAGCAGTGCTCAATGTGTGATCTATGGACCCCTGAGAGTTCCCAGGACTCTTTCAAGAGTTCACAAAGCTAAAAAATATTTTCTTAACAGTATTTCATAACAAATAGCTTTATAACAATACTAAGACATTTGCCTTTTACATTGTGTTGACATTTGTACAAACTGAGCAAATGTATTGGTGGGTAAAACTGCTGGGCTTTAGTAGAATCAGCAATAGTACCACACTGTATTTCATGGCTAGATACTTGCACATGGAAAAAAAAAAAAAAAAGCTAGTTTCACTAAAGAATGTCTTTGATAAAGCAGTAAAAGTTATTTTTATTAAACCCTGTCCCTTGAGTTTTAATACTTTGTGTGATGAAGTGCAAATAAAGACTTTTGCTACACACCAAAATACAATAGTTGTATCCAGAGAAAACATTTAAGCAACTGAGTTGCAAACTGAACTAGTTGTTTTTTTTTTTTGTAACACCACCAAATCTATTCCACTATCACAGTAAAACAGCAGTTTCCTCTCATTGTTTTCACTTTCTTACCAGACATCCATTTAGTCTACTATAATCTGGCTTCTGATTTCACTGAAACTGCTCGTGCTAAAGTCACTAATAGCCTTTTGATTATCAAAACCAAGCAACACATTTTAGTCCTTATTTTACTTAACCTCTCTATTGCACCTAACATTGCTGAGCACTCTTTCCTGAAATTCTCTCTAATCGTGATGACAAGATGTTATTTCTTTCCATCTTCCTAAAATTCCTTCTCTCCTTTGCTGGCGGATTATCTGCTGAAATCTCCAGCCCATACTTGTATTTTAAACTCTAGATCAATATATACAACTGCCTATAGGATATCTCCATTTATATGATCTAAAGAGATTGCAAACTCAATACATACAAAACCTTACTGACCTTCCACAAAAATTTGCTCCTCCTCCACTTAATGACCTCCTTGGATAATAATGCCACCATTGACTGAAGTCAGAAATACAGCAGTCATCTTAAGAGTCCTCCCTTTTCTCACCCTCCAAATATATTTTAATTTCTAAACCTTTTTATTCCCACCGCAACTCATTTTATGCCCTCAATTTCTCAAGCAACAGATCTCCCATCCTCCAGTTCTGACCTTCCCAATCCATTCTCTACATTGCTGACAAAATGAAAATAAAAGGCAAATCAAATGATATTATTCTCTTGTTTAAAACCCCTGAATGAGTCCCCATCCCCTATGGCAGTGACTCTGGGCTTAAGTGGAAGCTACCCAATAACACTTCAATATTCTGTACACTGCACATATGTATTTTCTTAAGGAAAGGGCCCAGATTCTCAAAGATTAACCCCAGAGGGGCAAGTCCTTTGAAATCTTTCAGAATCATCTCAAATCATATCCTTCCTCCCAGTATATGTTCCAGCCAACCCTTAATTACTTTAAGTTCTTGAACAGGGCTGTGCTTTTTCAACCTTTCACACCACTGAACATAAGATTCCCTTTGCCTGGAAAGCCACTACCTACCCACTCCCTGAGTGAACAAGTACTCATTCTTCAAGTGTTCTTTCATCTATAAAGTGCTCCCTAGCTCCTCCAAGCAACTGATCTCTCCCTTCTTTCATCTACTATACTTTGGATATATCTTTATTATAGTATTTATTATATGGCATTTTCATATTTGTTTTCATGTTCTTCATCCTTAATAGATCATGAGGAAAAGACCATGTTTTATTCATGTTTGTATGCCAGTAACAGTATATAACAGATACTCAAATATTTGTTGAATAAATATGCATTACACCACTAATGGTGTGTAGTCTTTTCATAAGAGGCTCTCCTGTGTAATAACAAGTTGTTCAAACTGAAAGTAATATTTTAAGAAGCTTAAAAAGGATATTTTTCAAAATATATCAGAACACTAATGAATGTATCACTACTGCCTTAAAATATTAAGGAAAAAAGTTAAGTCTACAGTTCAAAAAAACCGACATATAATATAAGCACAAATATAAACAACTGCCTCTTCATTTATGAAGAGTGAAAATCTAAGTGAAGATCTAAGTTACTAATTATAAATCTCAATGAGACTAAACTATTAGGTACAAGACTTTCTTAACCTTTATAATATTTGATTAGCCTAGTTAAATAACATGATTTGCTTCCTGAAACTTTTAATTTTTATATGCTCAAATAATAATTTTCTTTATATTTAAATCTGGATCCAGGCTTTAAAATCTCTAAACACATACATTCATGTGTCTTTAAAGCAGACATGTGTGTGAAATCAGCACTATTTTACTTTCAGAAAACACCAAACGAAACTTTGGAGGAGTGTAGGAAATCAGATTAAGTACCCATCAGAGAATTTGAGTTTCTGTTACTTTTAAAAACATCCTCGGTAGGTTATTTAAAACAGGAAATCAGAAGTTCTTATTATTCGCCATTTTATCACTAAAATAAAGGGTTTAAGAGTTATGGATGTAAATGCTGCTGTCTATAAACACAACTTGTCTGTTCAATGGACAGATGTCAGCTGCCTATTAATATGAGCCTGAAAATCAGCACTGAAATATGTACTGGACCACGAAGTCTGAACAAAACCTGCAGTGCCTGGTATACTCACTAACTCCTCCAAGTGAATGACTGAGGTTGAATTAATAAGTCTCCTTTGATGTTAATGATTGCGAGTGTTCCCAGGAAAGGACTAAAAGCTGACTTTCCAAGCAGGATGTCGCCTGCAAATACCTAAAACAAACTCTATGTCCATTCCTAGCATGTTATTAAGTGAACTGAACGGACTTGATGCGTTTTGTTAAAAGGCCTTTCCCCCGCTCCCCTGACCCACAGTCTATTTTTAGCAATTTTTAACTGGGAGCCAACCTTAAGAGTACGTTAGGAACTTAATGCTCGTCAGATCACTTCTACAGGACAAAATCGGCCTGTGAGGGAGCCGGGCCTGGAGTCCGCAGTCTCCAGGGCGCGACTCGGGCCACAGGGTTTCGGTTAGACCGCAGCAGGAAGTTTCCCCTTCCTTTGTGGGAGGCAGTGAAGCCAAATATTCAACTCCCATTCCCACGGGGGCACCCAGAGGTGAGCTCCGGTGCGGGAGGGCGGCTCCGCCTGGGAGCCAGGAGCCCCGGGGACTCGTGATTCGACGCCGGCCGCTGCGTGGCCGCCTCGCGCGGGCCCGGGCCGCGGCCTCCCTTTCCTCCCCTGCCGTCCACTCCCGTCCCGGGCCTCGCAGGCTCGGGCTGCACTCACCCACTCGAGGACCTTGATGAAGCCGAGCGGCTCCTTGAGCGGGTTGAGGTTGATCTGGAAGGCGGACATCCTCTGAGGAATGGAGGAAGAGAGTCAGGACCGCGGGGCCTTGGAGGAGGGAACCGACTAGACCCGAGCAGCCCAGCGGCGAGTTAGAGCGGGCGGGGCAGGCGGGACGGGCGGGACGGGCGGGGCAGGCGGGGC